GGGTGAATTCACCTTGAAAATGCTTTAAAAGCTGGCATAAAAAACTCTAAACTCTGCACAATCAATCATAACTTCGTGTTTTGGGAATACGAGTTTGTTTTAATTTTAGATATAATGTTAAGCATTTAAACAGATGCTGAACTTTGTATTATTTCACATGTTTATGATCTATTCACTTGTTTGGAAAGGAGCTTATATACGTCCTCACCACAACGCTGCACTTAAGAGGGTGCAAAGGCCCGTCCTGGAGCAGGCGTACCAGTGCAACATTTACATGGAGCCTCTGAAATCAGATTATGTATGGGTTCAATTGACTTAATGGATTTGAAGAGACTAGATCCTATTAATGAATTGGCTGCCCTACGGCTCTGCCCCGACCAATCGTGAGCTAATCTGGCATGCAAATTAAATCCTGCCTCAATATGCCTGCCTGTTTAATGCGATCCATTACACAGTTTCACTTATTTATATATACTATTATAAAAGAATAGGCTTATAAACAAACTAAGGGAGGGGTTAGGCCTATAAATGGGATTTGCTGGTGTTTTTCCCTGTGTAGTGGCCCCAGGGCTGGCTGAGGGAGCAATGATATTCAGTGCCAGACACTGATAGTGGGCTTCCTGAAATCACACTCACAGCCACAACAAACTGAGCATTACCAGCCCTGACTGCATTCACTTCAGTTTCAATGAGTTTTAAACAGAATTTTCTGCGTGGTCAATCACTAGACATGGATTTTCTTTTGGTTTTAGGTCTAAAGAGGTAAAAAAAAAAGCATGGTTTTTTCATTTAATGCACGCCTTCATAGTTTGTATACTTCATTTTTTTATTGTCCCTGAAAGATTAAATTCCTCGTGCTTCTCTCTCACCCTAGACTCACCTCTTTAGCCACCGTGCAGCAGGGACATCGATGACTTATAGGCTGCTGAGCGCATTGGAAAGTCATAATCTGGCACATGTTCATGCTGAAGGCTGAGTGGGATGTCTGCTGAGGAACTCCAGCCTCTTTGGTGCTGCCAGGCTCTCTTCATGCCTGGTTACCTTAGAGTCTGCTTTGTTAGTGTCACAGGGAATGAGGGTCGGGAAGAGGCCAGATTTCACCTGACCTGTCCTGAGATATTACAGCACAGGTTTGCTTACGTCTCCAGCTCTGCAAGTAAGGAGGATCGTCAGAATAATACTTTTTGAATTTGTTTCCTGTTTTTTCTGCAGGTATAATTTCAGTAAATCCTCTTTTAACATGACACCCTCCAGCCTAGAACCTGATACTGAGGATCAAAGTCTGAACCAATCTGGTTCAAGTATACTTCCTAAGCACACTTCAGCACAACTGCCTTTTTTGAGTAAAATTGAATAAGACATGAATTGAATATTTTCTGTTTATCTGACACAGCTTCCCTGACAAATATAAATAAATAAAGCCTTCCCAATGCAGGTATGCTTGAGTGTGTGCACCTCATTTCAAGCACAATTAACTTGAAATGGAGTGCTGCAGGATCAATAGTCCCCATTTGATCCAGGGGGGGTCTGTCACTCTATGGAAATGGCACACATATGGTAATACAGCAGGCTTAACAACAACTTAGAGGATTTACTGTTGCCATTTTCAGCGCCAACGTGAATAACAAACAGTGGGCTACAGTGAGCTATCGTCTTTTATCTTAGCTCAAATTAATCTAAGGAGAGGGAGCGTTTAAAGCTAATGAACGAGAGGCGAAACTAATGCACAGACAATCAAATAGAGTGAATATTTAAAAACTTGGAGCAGAATCATCGCTAATCAAGGAAGTCATATCAAATCTCAGAACAACCGAAGAGGATTAGGGCCACAAGAAGAGAAAAAATTAATCACAGGCGGAGACTTTTTTGATTTCCATTTTGAGATTAAAGTTGAAATTCAAAAAGTCAAAATTTTGACTTTATTCATGTAGACTTAAATCTGGAAATTTTCACTTTAATTTAAAAATGTTAATCTTTTTAATCCCCAAATCTCGACACTATTCACATTTCATCTTTAATCTCGAAATTTCAATTTTTAATCTCGAAATTTCAACTTTATTGACATAATTTAAATTTTTCAACCTTGAAATTTTGACTTTAATCTCCCTAATAATTATTTTTTTTCTCTTCATGTGGCCCTAATCCTCTTTCATACGTAACAATCAAGTTTTTACATTTGATTACTGATTGGTCAGCGACTGAAAAAAGGAGCTTTAACAACCTGGAGGAAATAAATACAGCATGTGTGAGCTCTAATAGCATGACTTTTATACCATTTGACTCATTACCAAAATATTTTTAGCTGCTTATTACCTGACTTTGATATTAGCTTGCTACATTCAGTTTGCTTTAAAGATGATTCTTAGCTTGTCTTGTACTAAATGAGCTCAGATTTCATTTATTTAGCCATGTATTCTATTAAAAATGATAGCTACAGTTGTACTACTTTATAGATAATTGTTATATCAGCTAGTAAGTGACTAATGCTGTGTTTGAGTTACCTCGGAAGTCAGAAGTCCGAGCTGAAAATGATGTCACACCCCAGTTCCCAGCGTTTCAGTTACCAAGTCAGAAAAAAGCAAAATCAGTGGCCTGAAACAAGATGGCTACATCTAGGAAAGTTATTTTAGCGCTTGCCTTAAATTCGGACATGGTACTTGGTAACTGAAACATTGGGAACTGGGGTGCGACGTCGTTTTCAGCTCCAACATCTGACTTCCAAGGTAACTCGAACGCAGCAAGAATGTCGCTTATTAGCTAAATGGGAGGTCTAGGTCATCCATATCAACTAAATCTTGTTCCAAAAAGCCAACTGGAAATGGTTAAAGTTGTTAAAAATGTTTCTGATCCCTTATGAAGGCCTTTTCAGCTTTTACTTGAAGTAGAGATTGAATCTGGAGAACTTAAACTAGGTTAGCTGTTGTCTTACCGTAGCCACGCATTAATAGGTATGTTGTTGTGATTTGAATCGTGGCCATAATTTCCCTCTAGAGTTTCACCGAGCTTCAAGTTTTCAGCTGTTGATCAATGCAGAGCGTTAAAGCCATGAAATGATAAAAATTTATTTGACGTCCAGCCTGGAACGCAGCAGTATTTTATCATTACGGGATTTAAGCTTCCCACCCAGAGCTCGGGATCAGAGGAAAATGGCCGCTGTGTGAATATGTTCAATAGGAAGTCTGGCTGTGGTCGCATTCCCCAGAACACAACATAAAAAGATAAATGAACACTGAATGACCCTGACGTAGCCCTGTTCCTTCATCATATAAATAACAAAAAGCAGAGCGAATAAAGCAGACTGTGCCGGGGCCAATTCCCCAATGGGTGCTTATATGAAATTCAACTTTCAGGCGTTCTCCCCGCTCAGAATGTGGCATTTATTTGCAGGACTCTGTTTCAATTTAAAGGGAATGGCAGCTGAAGGAGGCACAGGGGACAGTGTCTCATCACCGCCACTTACCACTCTTATAGGCCTGCTGCCGGGGAGGAAAACCTCAGCAGGCAGCTCCACTTAAACAGTGAAGACCTCCACCAGTCAATGTAATGTGCAAGCCTCTGATGGCCTCATATTCTCAGTCCTGTTGGAGTGTGGGGGTGTTTGTGTGTGTTCTTGTGTGCGTATGTCGTAAAGTGTTGGGAAAGGGAGGGTTTTTGGTGTTTTGAGAAACATATGGTTTTTGTAACGCTTGATGAGGTTTTTCACACTTGGATCACCAACAACAACTAAAAATATCAGACAACAGCAAGCAGGTTAAGTAAGGGTGTGATGTTTCCTGTATATAAAATAGATAATGTTTATACAGCCCTCCAACATCTATGTTTTTTAGAGAAATCCTTTGACAATAGTTTCTGCAGGATTACGCTATCTTTCCACAACCTAGAGAGAAATTTTGTTTAACATGGATAATACACTTTTGTCTTTTTCTACTATCAGATAAATGGAAAGATCAATAACACTCCCATGCCTGTGTATTAAAAAGACTGACGGGCAGACACAGTGTGGCCATTCACGAGCTAAAGGCCCTCTTCTGGTGGGTTGACTTAAAATTTGGTTGAGTTAGGATTTTTGATAGGCTTCAAAACTCCCGGGATTATCTAGATATTACAGGTATCGTCTACCTGTGCCATAACAGTTAGGGGTGATTTGCATGTGGCTGCGTAAAGCTAAAAGTAAGAGAGAAATGGACCTTGGTCATCTTCTCACAAGGCAGCCAACAGTGCTGCTGTCCTGCTCTTCTTGCACAGGTACCCGATGTTGCTCTTACTACCTATCCAGGTGCTTTCTAAAGACTCATTTACACCCAACTTTAGATACAGATATAGGGACATGGACAAATTCAGTCTATGCTATGTGTTCACTTAATTCGTCTGGCATACATACCAACCACTGCAGTACCATCAAAAACCATGGGGCTGTGTCAAGCAGTAAAGCTAATGGTTCAAGCCATGTGTTTATAGAACAGAAAACATGATACTCTGAAGGACTGAATTCTCTGTCCACATATGGTGACGTATGTAATGGCCCCATAGACCACCAAGATTTAGATCTTTGTGTTTGTTACAAAATTTTGACTCTTCTTTCTTTTTGGGGTAATGTTTGAGGTTGCGTCTTTTATAATACATCCATCAAAGGAAGCATAAATGAGTCCTAACTGTTAATTTAAACATATTGGTGCAACTTATTTCGTCCTCCTTATTCGTTTTATGTATTTAAAATGTTCTTACCATGTTTATTTAGTAAGTTGTGGCCTCATTTTGTGCACCAAGGGTCTTTAAACGAAGGTAACCCGCCTGTTAAGTTCCCACCAAAAGGGTACAGTTGTAACATCCAAATGGTCAGAGAGGATTTCATATGCATGTTTGCATGAACTGTAAGAACAGGGATGTTTCTGCAGCTGCAAGGCAGACACCTACTCCCTCACACTGATTACAGGTATTGAAAATTACAGAATAAAATGATCAATCATATCGCTAATTGTCTTATTTGCTTCAGAGATTATGTCAAGTCTCTTATATGAGTTTGAGTCGCTGTCATTAACACTGAAATACTCCTTAGAAGAGCTTTAAGAACACACAAAATGTTCTTTAACGCATTAACTTCAAGAAAATACAACATTAAAGAAATATCAGGATTTTCACGCAGAGCTTTATCATAGGCGCTTGACGAGACTATGCTATAGGTCACATGTTCTAAGGCTGAACGCAAGATTAATTATCTTGTGTTTTCTCCCTAGGAGTCACTGAGGAACCACGCTAACTAAAAACAGTGTGACTCCCAGCCCAAGGACGTTCCTGGGACCGCTCCTGAAAAAGACGGCATACGGACGTTCCTCGCCCAAAGGGTTAACGCTGATGGAAAACAAACAAACACGTCCATAAATAGGTGCTTTCCCTGGAAGAAAGACTTTATACGCTACCAGCTCATTTGGAATTCAGCTGAATGTCTCCCACAATGGTCCGACATACAGGGCTGACGATGGGGGGTAAATTAGAGCTTGGAGATGAATTATCAAACGATTAAAGAAAAAAAAGGGAGGCTGAGCCAAAGGGAAACAGAGCACAGATAATATTGGCAATGATTTTGGAGACGCTTATGTCTGTCTGTGTCGAACAGTTTGTATTCTGGTTAGTTTTGTCTTCATTTTAGGTGCATTATGATCTGGAACATAATGTCTCTTTCGTAAAAATGTGATTAAATATTAAAAAGCAGCTCTTTTAATGAAGTCAAGAGAGACGACAGTGAGACCAGAAAAATGGCTAGAGGATGTGTGTCCATTCCCACCCTCCTCCTCCTCTCACTCCACCCTGCTCTCCGTGTTCCTACGATATTCATTTTGATTTCAATTAAAGATCCTGAGTGTGACTCTCGCAGAGAAATTGCCTCTCTTTAATTAGGTAGTCTAAGTTCATGGAAGCAATTGTTGTTTCCCCAGCACTTTCAATTTGATGAGCCAAGGACTCTCATTTTATAGCTATGAATGAATATGGTTTCATACCCCTCAGGTTCCATGTCCTGCTAACTGTCTGGAGAATATTACTTGTGTGTTTCTCATTAGTGTATTTGTGCTGATGTGTGTGTGTGTCTTCTGGCCTGCAGGTGGGCTCCTCCATCTGTGATGAAGAGGACCACATGGTGCGGTGCAGGCTGCTGCCCGCTGGTCAATAATCTATTACAGGACGTTCCTCCTCCTCCTCTATGTGACTAATGCACTGCACAGAGACGGCCTCCCAGAGGTTAATGCTGCTCAGCTGACCCCGGTCCCCTCTGACAAACACTGTCAATGCTCGATTTGGGGGGAAAAGCTCCCTCTGTGGCCAAACATCACATCAGCTGAGGGGTGCTGGTAGAGTCATATGAGAGTCCAGCTGTGTGCCAGGTAGATATGCCTACAAAACCAACACCAACATTTCTTGCCAGTTTTTGGTGGGTCTTAGTCCATCCAGCCTATCCCAGCATCTTCGGGCGAAGGCAGGGGACACCCTGGACACATCGCCAGTTCATCGCAGGGCTGACATATAGGAAAGAACAACCATCCACGCTCACATTCACACCTATGGGCAATTTGAAAGTGGCCAATCAACGTAACCACGCTTAGGCATGTTTTTGGGATGTGGGAGGAAACCGGAGTACCCGGAGTAAACCCACGCAGACACAGGGAGAACATCAAGCAGTGTTAAATACATTTGTCCCAATCAAATCAACATGTAAATCAAATAAAGTGAGGGATCGAGTGAGGCTACTACTGGTAGAGCTAGCACCACCAGCCTTGAGTACTCCCTACAGGTCAATGCTTTAACGTCTGTGTTTGTTAAATATCACTGTGATTTAATTGTTATAAGCCAGTGTAACCAACTTACACACAACTTTTTCCCCATTTTCTCATGAAAAATACTCCCAAATCACACCACACCATGAGATATCATCCATCATCTGGGCTTGTTTACATCCAGGTAGTAGTGCATCAGAGCATTATGGTAGTCTCCACTAACCAGGTCTACAGCGTGAATTAATGGTTGATGTAGGGTGACCATACGTCCTCTTTCACCCGAACATGTCCTCTTTTTGGGGGCTGTCCGGGGGGAGTTTATAAAATCCGTCAAATGTTCGTAGTTTTGTATGGAAATTTTGAGTTTGTGCACCATGGACTGACTGAGATAGAAGCGCGTAAAAAACACTGGACTCGAAAAACCCTCAAAATTTGCCGCGCGACTCCACCACGCATAGTAGTGTCCTCTTTTGGGGGATTCAGGATATGGTCACCCTAGTCGATGGTTGCTCTAGAGTTTAAACACAACATACAAATAGCAGGTCTAATAGTAATAAAAGAGATAGCTTGTTTGACTGACCAGTGATTCTGGTGATGACTAGCAATATTTAATCACTTAGTCAACTGAAAACAAACCTCTATGGAAAGTCTGTCAACCGCAGATTCTTGCATGAGTCTTGTTTTAGAGGATTTTTGCTCTAAATAAATTGAGGTTGTGTCACTAAAATGGCCAGTCCAACACATCTTTGTCACGTCACAGCCAGTGACGTGACAAAGATGTGTTCGAAGAGCTATAGGGGCTACAGGTTGAACACATTTCTACCTGATATGGGTGCAAATAGCTTCACTTTAAAGCACCAAAACCAGTGTCTTGTTTACTTGGATAAATGCAGTATTGATCAGGACCAAATATTTATTTCATTATAAGCAGGAGTGGTTTATTTTTCATCTATTCCTGTGGTATTTACATTATGCTTAGGAGTCTCATGAATAAATAGGATCCTGGTTTGAGAACATGACACTACGTCCATTCTGAATAAATCCACGACATAAAAAGGCAAAGTGTCTTTGTTTTACTGTTCTGCTTTAATAAATCACCTGCTGCCTCTGCAAGAAATTGTCATTTGAAATTCTAGCAGCAAGGAGGACCACGGGCAGGCCTCACGTCTGCGTGTGGAGCAGAAGGAAATTAGCTGCACCTGAATGACAAGGCAAAGGCTCCCACCCCCAGAGGGACTGTGATCTACACACAAACTCCCTTTTAATAGACTTACACCTCATTTGGCCTCTAAAGCTTGTTGAAGGGTCCCAGAGGACGGGGAGTAGGGGGGTGGGGGGGGTGGGCCCCTCAGAGGTCAGCCCCGCTGCTCGCTGTAAACCAGCTGCAGTGAAAGGGAGAGCTTGATTAGATGGCCATTCACACCCAGAAGGGGACCGCCGAGTAGGGACAATGCCACATTTTCCCTTTTGCAAAACAACAGGGACATTTTGTCTGGCCTGTCGCAAGCAATATCTGTTGTGTTGAAGAAGGCTGTTTGAAAAGCTCAGAGGAGGCTGAGGGATCCTGCGCTGAGAGACCAATGGCTGTTTAAACTCCACTTGATTCAATTTAAACTGAAATCCATGCTGCCCGGTGGGTTCAAGGGAGGCCAATTTAGCCGAATACCAGTGAAGTTTAACAAGGCTTAATATTGTCCCAGATATAATAACAAAAGGTGGAAACAGTGAAGCTGTTTGGATATATGATTTTAAGAATGATAGTTTACAATGTCTGCTGTGTAAAAACTGCTGCTGAATTTATTCCATTGTGAACATTTTTGGTGTAAAAATTACAGTAATTTCCCAGTCTTAAAAATTTTTCAAAATACCCCTTTAAGTTAGACATATTTTTACTTTTTGTTCTTTTGGTTCTCTTCCTGGTCATCTTCTTCTATCGGCCTTTCACTTTCGCTGCATCGGATTTGAACCAAGATCCATGTCCCTTAAGTCCTGATCTGGGATTTGAACCTAGAACCCTTTTCTCAAAATGTGGCATTACTAACAACTACACCTCAAGCCCCCCTTGCTTGCCCTCTCTCCACAGTATCTCAAAAGTGCACAGCTCGGATTACAGTCTAAAGAAAACATTTCACGCCTATCTCACATTGGCAAGTCCTGAGCTGGGATTTGAACCTAGAACCTCCTCACTCAAAGATGGCAGTACTTACCATCACACCACAGTGCTGCATGACATTGTTTGGCTGTTAGATTGATTAATTTTCACATCATGTTATGAAAACTCATGACTGAGATTTAACCAGAAAAATGAACCCTTTTAGCTGCTAGCTAACCAAATTTAGCTAGTGACTGGAAAGCTAGCATAACTATGTCTAACCATACCGAGCACCTCTAGAGCTCACATCACTATTTTAAACTAAACTCCATCACACAGTCCTGATACCTTTGTGTAAATCATGTTCCATGCACCCAACATTGATGCTAATTTGATAAAGTACACTTTAATAAAATTAACTTATTGTTTAAAAAGTCAAATAAATGTTGACCATCAGCTTTTTATTGACAGAGTACCTGAGTTACACTTCACTTCTCTTCATTTTACCCTCCTTTTCATGCTTGGTTTGCAGTGTATTACAGCAGCTAAAGAGCCTCACTTTAAACACCGTAATAAAACCATGTTCTCTGTCTAAACTAAGACTTGTAGCTTCAGACATAGCAGGAATTCAGTGTGGCTTTGTGAGCACTGAGAGGGGGTTCTCGAGATGTTTGTAACTGTGTGATCTGGACATGGGTAGAGAACAAGAAAAAGGTTGTTTGTACAAAAAGTGGTGCTTGTTGTAAATAGTTAAATAGGAATATTTCAGGCTTTGGATTAGTATTTGTGAGTTGCTATTAAATGGCATTTTTAAGGGTAAACTACACCTTTGATTTCCCACAGCTCTGCAACATTCTCCTCATTGTGTACCTATTTGGGTCACTGAACAAAAGACCCCGCAGTAGCTATATGTTGCAAATGTGAATACATTATGAGAGACTCATAACGACAAACAGGGGATTTTTTGTTTTAGCATGCTTGGTTTTATACTCTCATAGCCTGTTTTAAATTCATTAACAGATCTTTGATGTAAACATAAATAGCTAATAATTTTGCATTTTCTTCCCCCTCTGTTTTTTATTTTTGCATTCTTCCTGTATGGGTTAATTCAGCAGCATTCTCCTCTCCTCCCTGGGGTATGGAGTTTGCATTTTAAGTGAGGCCCAGCACAGACACTCAGCAGCATCTGAACTTCCTAAGTTGAAGTGTGGCTGGGGTTAAGTGGTCCCTATGCTCACAGCACCTATCTCAGCCCAAACATGACAGCTGGGGACTTGACTGTTGCTATGGAAATCAACCCCTCTCCCTCCTCCAGGCCCTCTCCAACTCCCCCCTCCCCTCCCCCTTCAGTGCATGAAAATGCCCCAGACTGCTCATTTGAGACCATACAAGTCCTCCTCCTTCTTCCCGTGTTAACAAGTCAACTTCTCTGTTGTTCTGCCCCGTTTCAAACAGGCTTTATTGCAGATGGAAAATGGCTCGGGGTGTACTCGGGTGCTTAACGGTGCTCAGCTCGGCTTTGCAGCTGGAAAGTTTCCTAGAATAGGCTCCTGGAAGCTGGCTGAAGATGGACACTGTGAAATTGTTTGCTTCTCAGTCTTCTTCATTTTCAAATAACCCTAATCTGAAGCTAATGCAAGCTCATGCTGGTTTTAGATAAGATGAATTCTAATCATCATTAGTGTGATCCATCAGGGTATTTTGGGGATACTGGGATACTCATATGACTCAGCAGTACATTCATAATTTTGACAGATTAATAATAATTTAAAATGCATTGTGATGTATATAGCAATGTATCACATCATTGCTCTACTGTATCATATTACTATATCCCATAATAGATAGTGTAGAATTATACTGTATCATACTGTATAACTGCATCATGTCCTATGATATCGGTGTATGATAAAATATTGGTGCATCATATCTTATCATATCATATCATATTACAATATATCATATCAGATATCATATATCATATCATAACATCCTAATGTCTACTATAGTCTTTTTTATCATATCATATCATATCATATCATATCATATCATGTTACATCGTAATATATCATATCATAACATCCTAATGTATCATACCATACATCATATACAGTATATCATGTATCATATCATATTCTTTCTTTCATCATATCATATCATATCATACCATATATAGCATTTACATTACATCTTAATGGAATGGTTTATTGTATCGACCTTATATCTTGAATCATATAATATAATATCAGAATTTATTGAATTATGTTGTTATCCATTTAAATCCAAAAATCTGTCTCAAAAATCTTTTAAGGGTGTTTTAACTTGTGGGTGTCAGGGACCCTGTCCTTCAAAGTTGTAAACAATACACAACACAAAGAAAGTCTGATCAAATATCGGAAAAACTGTTGTATGATTATGTTTCATTCGTGCACTTCATAAAAGTCATGTTAGAGGCAAGGCATGTCTGAAATTTAGAAAGTTCCCCCAATTCACCCAAATGCTTTAGTGTCCTGTATTCTTTCCCTAAGACCTAAGGGCAAGGAGTTAACTGCAGGTATCAGTGAGTGTGTTGAAGAATTCCTCTTAACACTGACAACTTTTAAGTTTGAACACTCAAACTTGTGGTATAAACAATGTTTATTTCCTGAGAGACTGCCAGAAAAAAAACTGCTGGAGGAGCTTCCTAGCATCACCACCATAAATAATTATCTTCTATACATTTCATCACTCCCACTCCTTTCCTGTCTCGATCAATCCTGAGCCGAGGAGCCTTACATGCTGCTGTAAAATGACTGGAAGCTGATGGATACAGTCCCCAGCAGAGCACGTGACCCGTCTCCATCGGCGCTTATGGCACCACATTTAATCTAAATGTAGTCCTTGACAACAGGAGGGTCTTCGCTTAACTGTGTGGGAGCTTTACTCGTATATGTACCATATGTTCTTTCTGGTGGCTTTTATTCTGAAAATGGACTGTCAGTGCCAGCTTTTTATGAATAACAACATAAAAATGACAAGTTTCAATCTAAACGGCACCTCCCA